CCCCTCTCCATTTTCTCCCTGATCGTCCTGTCAGAAAGCCCCGTGGACGCTGCCTGCCCGGGCCCTGTGGCCCTCTCTCCCTGTACATTCTGCCTCAGTCCTCTGTACCACTGTTCTGCCGTACTGCTGGGAGTTTCTGGAATAATATATCCTGCCTGGAAGGATTCGGGGCTGAACGGTGAGACCAAACAAAGTTCTTGTGCCCGTTAATGTAATATTGTAGAGTTCGGTACCGTTGAGTTGCGGCTTTCTTATGTTGCAGATGTGGTAGCGGGTGTCACCTTCGCATGACGATCTGTGTGACCTTCCTGTGTGAACGATGGGGTCGCGGGCTATCATTGAGTCACGAATCACCCTTGAATTGCGATCGGTGTTCAGTGTTTTGTGTTGAAGATAGGTGAGCGGCCTCAAGTTGCGACAAGTAATGCTCACCCTGGAATTGTTGAGTCTTTGTTCATAGAGATGGGGGAAGCAGGTAAACCTGGAGTTGCGGCCAGTTCAGCCCACCCTGGAATTGCGACCGTATTGTGTAGCAAGTGCCGGAAAATTCTTATTAAAACTGAAACTTTTGTTTTGTCATTTTTTGCCCCCCCCCCCAACCCGCGCGCTAAAAATGGGTGAGCAGGCTATGCTGACGTGTTTGTAATTTCCCCTTTATGGGACCCAGTATGTTCAGGCTTATAGTGTGCTGTAAAACCTAAAAGAATTATGCCTGAAGGTTTTTAACTGGTCAGTAGAACTATGAGGCAGCAAAGATAACCAAGGTCTTATTGGAATAAAACTACCCATGTGAGATAGGTTATTTTTCTGAGGTTCTGCTGATTTTTGTACCCTAAAGATTTTCAACAAACTATTTTCTACATTTTTCATTTGGAGAAAAGGGGGACGGTAAAGACAAAAACTGCGCCAAAGGCAAACTCGAGAAAAGCGATGTCAAAGGTTCATGAGATTTTTATTTCGTAAGAAACAGTAAATGAAAATTACCCAGGTTACCACGTTTGAAAGAAATTAATTTGAGAAGACCTTTTAAAGTTCAAATGAAAAGATATTGACCTTTACTATTTATTTGCTTACTCTTTTCTTTTTTTACACATGTGACCCGATATTGATTTTCGGTTGCCCTTTGGTGGATTTCGATCAGTGTAACTTATACCACGGTTTTCCTATGTCGCCAAACAAAAGCATTAAAATGTGTCGGATCATTTGCAGCATTGCAATACTACGTCCTAGCTTTCTAACTTCTGAAGG